TTGTTTCTCCTGATTGCATAATGTCCAACATGATGTCAACAAAGTCCTTGGATTGCTTCTGATCACGAGACTGGACATGTTCATCGATCATCTTCTCAAGAAACTCATCAAACACCTTTGCAAGATCCTTGAGGCGGCGAGTGAGTCCTTGAAGATCAATCACACCAAGAAAAGGAAAAAAATCACCAAGATTTGGTGTTGCTGATAAATGCTCAACCTCTTTAACAACAGCTTTGAATCCCCTCTTGTCCAAATCTTCATCCATGTACTTCTTTCCAAATACCATCATGCAAGTCAAGTCAGCACTCAAAGACGAAATCTTTGCACTAACATCAAATACAACGCGATCATCATTTTTAAGTGATTTGATCATAAGCTCAACTTGCTCCCTTCTCATGGATTGAAATGAATTGATCTTTTGGTTACTCAAAAGGTGCTGAGTGCACAATTTGCGCATGTTACGCCAGTATGGTCCATGCTTTGCGGATATCAGATTCTTCTGTTCATACGCCAAATAATAAGATGCCTCCATATGAGGCCTACTAGCAAAGATATGATCATATGTCTTGAGGACCTTCTCGGCTGCGCCTGCAGACGAGACAATGATTGTAGGTACTAGTCCCAGTCTAACATACATAAATGGACCATGTGTATTTGCTAGTTTTTGTAAATCTTTGTGTGGATTTTTTCCTAACAAGTGAAGATGTCCTATAATGGGAAGGCCTTTTGGACCTGGAGGATACCTTTTCCTATTTTGAATGTTGTTTAGCAAGGTATACACAACAAATATAACAACTAGTGTTGCCCATATAAAAGCCATCTCTAATACTTACTAACTCTTTTTTCTTCTAAAATATCTCTACTTGAATGTGTCTAGAGATCTCATTTATATAGAAAAATCAATGCATTATTTGGTAATGTTAGAAAGTATATTTCGGAAAATGTCCTCCCTAATAAAACAAGTTTCATGAGTGACATTCCACAGTAATTATCTCCTCCCTCGCTATCCTACAACACACCTCACCTCCACGCCCCCACACTCCTAGGGGCCCTTCACCCCCACCCCCCATAGCGTGTTTATACCTTCCGATGTAAACAAAAATAAACCAAAAGCCAAAATATTAAAAATAAGCCAAAAGTTATCTCTTCTTTGATTATCTCTTCAAATGCTAATTTATTTTAATTAGGCCAAATTCATCGGTGACTTATTAAAGTTGGCATCAAGTTTCACTTAGACACTTTAACTAGATGATTTTCATTATCGACACATCATGTAGGGTTCTATTGTGTTATTTTTTTACACTATTTTGTTGACATGTCAAAGTGAATGTGATACTCGCAACAATAGCGCGTGAAAAACTTAACTTAGCTATTTTTTTATTTTATTTTCTCTCCTTCTTCTATATTTTTTCAAGCCCATCACCCCCACCTTTTTATCAAACTTAAACTCATTCAATGAAGATCACATTTTTTGTTCAAATTCTTTTTAAAGTCATTTTTCTGTATTACTTTTCTAAATCTACTATTATCTTCCTCCTTTTTTTTTACCAAAAAACGGATACTAACACTCATATTTAGTATTTGTTCTCTCTTGCTATCCCTCTTATCTTCCAAAAAAATAACACTAAAAAGAAAGAAGAATAAATATAAAAAAAAATAGTAAACGAAAAGAATTTTTTTTTCAAAAAAGAACAAAAGAGATTTTTACTGTAATGAAAAAGAATTTCTTTTTTTAGAATAATATTTTTATTTTATTTACTAAATAGATTTAAAATAATATTTAATTGAACATAACACATGTAATTATTTAATTGATTGTCTGCTATGTCATCAATGATTATTTACATGCTCTTTCAGGTTTTTTGTTATTATTAAAAAAGTATCAAAATAATATAATGAAAGTCTAAATAAAAAGTCTTAAATTAGTATCAATTAGTTGAAATATCTAAGTGAAATTTATTATCAATTTTAGGAGGTTACCTATGGATTTAGCCTTTTAATAATTCAGTTTTGTACTTAGAGATTGATGTTTTGACGTGTTAAGCTTTGATTGTGCCATCTAAAGAAAATAAACTCCAAATGGTATTTCATTGAACCTAGTAGATCTGTTTTATTCTCTCAAATTTAATTTAATTTAATTTAATTAAGTTTTTTTCTTTCTTTAGTCAAATAACGTTACGCCTTATTTGAAAAAAATAGGAATTATAACACTAATTGGATTTTTTAGGCATAAATAACTTGAGATTCAAAAGGGGTATATGTGTTGTTTTGTGCTGTGCATGATTTATTATATTTTATATGAGGGATTATTTCATCATGATGGACATCATATCGAGGATAATTCCATTGATTGAGTAGTCTTTTCCTCTTCTAGATATTTTAAACACTATTTTTTCTATAAATATATAAAATTTAACTAATGAGTTAACATCAAATCAATGAGTTAACAATATAAAATTCGAAGTGGAAGAATATTCATCAAACCTTTACAGCTTATTTAGATGATCGTTAGCTGAAAAATATTATTTTTATCGGATGTATATATTAAATTAATTTAATTTTTTATTAATATGTGATTTATTAAAGTAGAATATATGTTAATTAATTATGATTAAGTAAGTAAAATGAATTATAAATTTAAACACATGATATGTATGTATTGACTTGGTGTATACATTCGATGTGTATAAGTTTTATCCATTCTTAGCTTATTTTGTTATTTGGTTTAAATATAATATTTTGTTTGACTGATAATTAAATTTTATGATATCGTATTGTTTAAAATTCACTGTTATGCACTGGTGAAAAGTTACATTTTGTGCAACGATCGATTTTATATATTGTATCGTTACAATATTTTTTTTAAAAAAATATTTTGTCTTTGTTACTATTTATCTAAAAATCTTATTTTATCCTATATGATGGAAAACAATATAATCCATCCAAACTATATATTCATGAAAGTAGTACAATACATTATGAAATGATACATCATGAAATAATATGAAATTATCATTAACACAAATATAAAATTACGCATGTCATACAAAGTGGTGGTTATATTGATTTTGTGATATGTGGTGGGTGCTGACGCAAATCAAGTACTCTCATCTTCAGAAGATGCAAGTTGTGGAAATAAAGATATTGAGATGGATATATGAGCATAGGAGAAATAACATTAGGATTGATAATATCCAAGACAACAAAAAAGCAGAGGCAGAGCTACCTTGGACTAAGACCATCTTCAACCCACCTCTATTTACTTTCTATTTTCTATTTTACGTTTTAATTAACATATTATTTTATATAAAATTTCATTAATTAAATATCTAATATTCATAATTCCTTTTTAAATGTAATATAATATTTTTAAAAATGTTTTTTTAATATATACTACTTTTATTTCAAATTAATAATATTTTAAATTTTTTTCTAATTTTCATCAATAATAAAATTTTATTCTATTATTAATTTTCATTTTAAAGAATACAAAAAATTAAAATGGCAAGATGAAAAATTTAATTAAAAAATACAATACATGATATGATAATTTAAATACAAGACAACAATATAATACATAACATAATTATTTAAATACAAGACAACAATACAACACATAACATAATAATTTAAAGACGGGATAAAATACAATACATAACATATTAATTTAGTAATCCAATAGGTCGTTTCCAGACCTAGCACTATTCGGAAAAAAAATTAGGATATAATTTCAAATATTGTTGCGATTGTGATTGTGATTGTGATTGCGGATTTCTTTTTTCAATTATTCGTTGTTGTTCTCATTGCATGTAAACGAACATTTAGATTACTAATAGTTTCTCAATGTACAAATTCAAGATATCATAGAGGCTCCAACTCCAACTATAGAAGTGGTGGTAAATGAAAATCTTCGATTTGAACAATTTTTAGTTAGACATAAAAAAATAAGGACAAAAATGCTCATTTTATCTCCATAATGCATTATAGAGCATTTATGGGATCAACGTAATAATTTTGAAAATTGAGTGTTTATATAATTGTATGTCACTTTTATTTGAATTTGCCCTCCTAATTTATGTATTAATATTTTCTTGTAATTTATGTTATTTTAAAATTTAAGATAATATATAATTGTATATCTCATTAAACATCACATAAGATAATTATTTGAGAACAAAGAAATAAAGAATTTATATTATGAAATAAGAAAATAAGAATAAAATAGAAATGATGATATAATATTGTGAAAAAAAATTCTTTTTTAGAGAGTAAAATAAAAAGTTGAATTAAAGTTGATTGTCTAAAAAAATAGAAAACTCTATATTTGAAGAGTAAAATAGAATTCTATATACAGAATAATATTTTATGTATATTTAATAATTCGTTACCGAATATTTTGACTTCACCGTTGCAAAAGAATGACAATGGACACGTGAGATGATTTAACACACTACTAAAACAGTCAAAATTAAACCAACATCCAAATGTTGGCTAGTAGTATTTTTTGGAAAACTCTATCATAGAGAGGTCAATTTTTCAAATTATAAATAATAAAAATGCACCATCCAACATTCTTTATGATAAAATGTATTTCTACCTCTAGAACAATGCTTATGGTTAAAGAATGTGTTTTAGAAAAAGCTTAAATATGTTATTAAATATTTATGATATTTTTATTTGAGAAAAAAGATTTATTTATGTTATTATTTGTAAAATAAAAATATTTTTAATTTTGTAAAAACACTTTTTATATGTGATCAATTATAATTAGATCATCTCATTATTTTTAAATTTTTTTTTAAAAAAAAGGTTCAAATAGGTCATCAAACTTTGAGAAAAAACTTATGTATGTAATTAGTTAAAAATTTGTTTCATCTGTGATTTCAGTTAACAAATAATAGCACAAATTAATTATTTCTCAACAAAAATGACATGAATAAGTCAAGCTCTTAGTAGATAATATAAATGATTTTTTTTCAAAATTCAGTGTCATATTTGAGTATTTTATTCCTTCTCTTTCAAGTTGTATTTTTTTGAAAAATATCAAAGGTCCATTTTGGCAAACGAAAATGTTAAAAATCAAAATATAATGACCCGGATGGTTGTTTTGCTCCTTTAAACCCATTTTTCAGTTTGAACAATCTCGTAATTTTATTATACTATATAATTTATGACTTATTAAGAGTAGATGACACGGATCCCGAGGTGATTGATTTGGATTTACAGTTTATAAATTGAGAAATTTGACTATAGTCAAAATTAAGTTAACAAAGTCAGTTATGATTTGAGCTTTAACAAAGTGATGTGTGACCACCATAAACTTATTATCAATACATTTGTCATGCGCGTGCAGCTCAAGCATATTATTGACTTAAAATGAAACGTTAAATGTCACTTTAAATTTGAATCGTTAATAATTTTTATATATTTAATTTATTTTAGTTTTTAAGTGATAATATAATTATTTTTACTTTAAATTATTTTTTATGAGATTTAATACTTTAAATATGTCAAGTATTTTCTAATGATTTTTTTATTTTCATGAAAAATTTACTTTTTCTACAAATAGTATTCAATATTTGTTTAACTTATAGCCTATTATATTAAAAATGAGACCCTTAAATTTGAAGGTCTAAAACACATCTTTTTTAATATCGTCGAGTCACTCCTAGATATATCTTTATCTTGCTTTGTTATTATTATAGTGTTATCTGCATGCGGCCAGTAAGTAGAGATACAGAGAGGGAACAACTTTGTTGCGGATTTTGAGGATTTGTATTTTTGACATTATGTGGGTTATGGAGGTCTTAATTAGCCAAATTTTTGATGATCTTTTTTTCTCATATATTCATTTGGTACATGATTCTAACTTTA